GCCAGCACAATACTTCAAAGGATGAAAGTTTAGTATCATGAAGTACAACAAGCAGAAAAACAGACAGCTCTAATTCTGCGTTTAAATTGAAAAATATTTGAATAAGGCAACGATTATGAGACTGTTCAAACAGGAAACATAAAAAAATAATGAATAAATAAGTTACATTTAAGTAAAACTTGCATGCCTTTTCTACCATAACCATCTTCCACCAAAAACAAAATCATCTTTACATACTAGGAGAGGGGAGAAGCGGGGGGAGAAGTAGAAACAAAAAAAGTGACTCGATATATTGCATGCTGGTCAGCCGTGCTACTGAGAAGATTGAGCCCCCTCTGACCCTCCTCGCACAGCCCTCTTTCCCTTTATGATCTGCACTGATGGGCGCCTGCTAAGGGGTTGCTGCCTGTAGCATGGCTCAGGAGTACAGTATGTTACATTGCCACTTGGGGAAGTACTTCTAAAAGTGTTAACGTATGAATGAGAAGGTTCCACTTCTGGAGCTAGAAACAGAAAATTTTTAATTTTAATTTAAGAATTTTATTAGAGAAGCCTAGATTAAATAGTAAAGATCCTTCTCAAGCAAACGAGTGTTACTGAATCCAGCTGAGAATCAAGCTGGCAAAATCCCAGGATGTTTCACGCTCTCATACTTTTTAAAATGGGCATAATTAACATAACTGATCAGTTACTGTAAATAACAACCAGTCAACACATTGAATTAGGTTAATTCTGCTGGATAAAACAGCATATACCAACAGTATGCAACCACACCCAAACAAAATAAACAGAACAGAAGGGTCCCAAGAAGTTTTTAAAGAAGTAAATGCTACAAAAGCATTAGATATGTTCTTCTATGGTGCACTTGTTTGATTTTCTCTGATTGTCAACTGAGTGCAAACTTATAAAACTCTGTTTAGAAGCTAAAGTAATCTTGCAGCTAAAAGTCACAGCTATTCTTCGAGACAAAAGAGAAGCAACCTGCAATTCAAGATTCGAAGCAACAGAGAAAGCCTTCAATAGGGATCATGGTTAAACACCAGATGATGACATCCACATTTCAGGGAAAGGAAAATTGAGTTCCTTAGAGGGGTAGTTGGAGCCTTCCCCTTTCACCGCTCCAGAAAGGAAGCAAAGGGAGACTTAGAAACATGTATAAATTATTTCATTATCATACCATCCAATCTCTGCGTAAAAAACAAGTACAAGATTTGTATAGTACTCTTTGCTGATGGGACGCATTAATGACATCTGCCGAATGGAAAACATCTTCTCTCCCTCAGTGCACGCTATCAGCTAACTTCATAAACACAGCTCTTAACAGAATCAGCAGACAGCAAAGCCAAGCCATGCCTTTAAACAAAAAAAGGTACATACTGCACGCTACTGAACGTAAACAGAATTTTAACCATCAAACCCATGGCAGCCTTTACTGTAACCATTAACCTGGTTTTGCTGCAAAGAAACACAACATGCATTACTGAATCATTTCTTCTCAAATCCATACATTCCCTGCAGCAGTTCAAGCTCCATCAGCAGTGCAGGAATGTATGAAAATGACAGGCAAAGGGCACTAGCTCTTTTCCCATACTGTTCTTCTATAAATGGAAGCAGAGCTCTACAAAGTGCTTAAAGCTGAGAATGTTTGAAGACTGATCCCCAGCAAAAAAATACCACAATGTTAGGATCCACGAGCAGATTAATTAGCGTGTTTTACCACAAACCTGCATCCCTTAGCAGACAGGACAGGAAAGGAAAGCAGCTATTGGGAAATCATGGAGCACTGGCTGGGTCTTGTCTACAAAGCTGCCATGAACAAAACAAATGAGTACACATTCATATTTCATGTCACATTCATAAAAACACTTATTATCCCTTTTGGGAGCACCTGTTCCTGCATTTGCTTTCCCCTTTCCACTCAGGGGAGAGGAGAGTGAAAAAAAGGTAAATTAGGCACAAACCCTTTAACAGTCTCACGATTTTGGTTAAACTTCGAATTGACTTTAAAATTAAATGCTGTATCGGTACCATGTGAGAGAAAAACTTCAAAATACACCCTTTAGAATAAAAAGGGTCTGAAATACATAAAGCACGCTGCCGATAAGCTGGCTAGCCAAGCAAAAGCAAGCATGCCACAGCGTAACACAATAAAAAACGTGCGTGCTTCCTGCTGAAACTCCCATTTGTTTTCCAGTTTTCTTCTCGTTTTGTCGGTTTGCCTTTTTGTTTTAAGGCTCGATAAAACGCACAGCATCCTCTCTCGAATCGAAACGGGATAAAATCAAAAGGTGCTCGCACATTTCCCGACCGCCGCCGGCTGCCACTCCGCAGCCCCGTCTGCCCGCAGGAGCGCTGCCACGTGCGGGCCCGCAGCGGAGGAGGCGCCGAGGGGCAGCGCGCTGCTCCCCCCGCACGAGTCCCTCGCAGCTCCGTTTCCAGCAGCCCTCGCTAACAAAACGCTATTGCTGCAGGCAGCGGCGTGCCGACGTCGGCGTTGCCTAAACCAAACAAACACCATGTTTAACAGTCAAATAAAACGTCCCGCAGCCTCCCTAATGAATTTGTCAAGGACCATCAGATCACCTCCGCCCCTGCCTCATTAACTCAAGTATGATGAGACGGATTATAACGGGAGAATGCAGATCAATCGCTCTGAAGGCTTCAAGTGCCTTTTAGCCCTGAGAGTCCCTCTCCGCGCTCCTTCATCCAACGCAGCACGGTGTTCCCCGCCGCCGGAGGGGCTGCCGCTCCGTACGGTGCACCATCGAGGAGCGCTGACGGACTTCCGCGCCAGTGTCCATAAAGGCAATGGGGAGAAGGGCTCTTCGACTTCAGCTCCTCCAATACCGTTCCTTTCAATTATTCATCCCGGCGAGAGCAAATTCCGCAACAGCCGAAGCCAATCTTAATGCGGCGCGGCCGCAATCGCCCAGAGAAAGGCTTCACGTGCATTATTTGCTGGAAGTGTTTAAGTTTATTGCTCAAATGATGTTTCTAATTAGCGCCGGGGCAATAAATTAAAGTCGGCTTTTGTTTAGCTGATTTATTATTTACTAGCGCTTCAACCTCAGACGGGAAAATTGGTAATGAATCGTTTTAAATCTGTGCGCCGGTAACGCTTTACCATCGGCCACCTTAGCGGGGGGGCGGCCGCCTCGGCTCTATTTTTGCCCTGAAAATAGGCACCCGCGTCCTCCCATCCCCGTCCGACCCGGCGTCTGCCAGCTCCGCCGCTCCTCCCGCCCATCCTGGCCGACGGTACCACGGCCCTCCTCGCCGCTCCTTGAGGCGGCTCTACCCGGAGCCGCCCCAGGCCGTTCTCCCTCCCGCCGGGCACCTGCCGGCCCTGCCGAGAGTCGGTGTCCCAGCCGCAGCGCCGTGATGTAATGCCCGAAGCGTGCGGCTCGTCGGTGACAGCGCCCCGAGCAGCACCGGCGCCGGGCACGTCCATACTTACTACACCCAGCGTGCCGTTGTACGGCCGGCGTAAGACATGTTTCTAATTTAAACGCACGCGGCAAACAGACGGCGATATTTTATTTAGTAAAATCAGACATCCACAACGAAAAGCAAAAAAGAAGAGGACGCAGAGCGAGCCGAGACCCCGCACGGAGCGCACGGCGTGCAAACGGCCGCGGCCTCGCTCCCGGCGCACCGGGGATCCGCCGGGCCCGCCGCAGGGGGGAACACACAGCCCGGTGAGCAGCGGTGAGAAGGGGGCGGACGTCACCTCTCCTCACATCGGGAGCCTGTAGGGAAAAGAGTTCGTTTTGCTCCGGCGTTCCATGAACGCCCACTCGCTGCCTTTCTGCACCGCCGCGACACTGGTGCGATTATACATCCAAACCATTCGGAGCTCTCAGTAACACAAACTCGCATAAAACACAGTTTCTTTTTCTAATAACTCCATCTTCCACTTCAGAAAGATGAGCGCAACTTTACTAAGCGAATTTATCACCGTTAACGGGCCCGCGGCGCGCCACCCCGCCCCGGCCACTCTCCCACTTTCCCCGCTAAGCCCGATACCGGCGCCGGGACATTTACAGCAGCGCGGTCCTCTCCCCCCCCTCCTTCCGCCTCACGCACGCCGCCGGAGCTCCGGCACCCGGCGCCCCCGGGCCGCGAGCTGCCGGTGCCCGGCCCCAGGCCGCGGCCGTGCGCGTCGCCGTACCCGCGCCCCCCGCGCCCCTCCCGCCGGTCCCGCTCCGGCCGCGCCCGGTGCTACGATTGGCCGCGCCGCTGACAGCTCGGCGGCGATTGTAGGAGACGCGCTCCGCCCCTCCGCCGCGGCCGGGGCCCATTCATAAAGTAACCACGGCGCCAGCGCGTCCAGAGCAGCGCGGATACGCGGAGAAGGAGGAGGAGGAGGAGGAGAGGCGCGGACAGAGAGAGCCGCGGCGCGCACAGCCAGGGGTGGGGAGGGGGAGGAGAAGCGCTCCCGGGCATACCGCACCGCCCTCCTCCCGCCCGGGATAACACAGTGTGTGCAAAGAAAAACAAACCCCAACAATCCGTGCCGAGCCGCAAGACGGGGATGAGCGAACGCAGAGCGGGCGCACAACTCTGCGAGTAACGATCGCGGGAGCCGCGCAGCTCCAGGGCCAGAAGGGCGCTCGGCGGCATCCGGCAGCGGCGAGGCACGCACCGAGAACGGACCGAGGGCGGCGGCCGGAGGGGGCTCGCTCGGCGCTCGGGGCACCGCACGCCTTTCTCCTCCTCCTCCTCCTCCTCCTGCTCTCGTCCCGCAGGCGGTGCCAAACTTCGCCGCCGACCGGCGTTTCTGCGGGGAACTCCTGCGCGACTTCGCTCGGGCTCTTTCGATTCCATGAACTGCTGAAGCGGCCGTGCAGCGGCGCGGGGGGGCGGGCGGCCGAGCGCAGCGGCAGCATCGACCTCCCGGCCCCCGCCGCCCCCGGGCCGGGGCAGCGCCGGGCCGCGCCGCTTTGTGCCGCCGCCTCCTCCTCCTCCTCCGACCCGCGCTGCCGCCGTCCGCCCGGCGGGGGCGGGGGTGCCCGAGCCGGCCGCTGCCCTCCGCCAAGCTGCAGCCCCCACTAAAGCATTGGATCCCTCAACGTACTGCGAGAGCCCGGTGTACAGCCCGGACCTGTGCCCCAACATGATCGCCGCCCAGGCCAAGCTGGTGTACCAGCTCAACAAGTACTACACGGAGCGCTGCCAGGCACGCAAGGCGGCCATCGCTAAGACCATCCGCGAGGTGTGCAAGGTGGTGTCGGATGTGCTGAAGGAGGTGGAGGTGCAGGAGCCGCGCTTCATCAGCTCGCTGAGCGAGATCGACGCCCGCTACGAGGGGCTGGAGGTGATCTCGCCCACCGAGTTCGAGGTGGTGCTCTACCTCAACCAAATGGGCGTCTTCAACTTCGTGGACGACGGCTCCCTGCCGGGTTGTGCCGTGCTCAAGCTGAGCGACGGCCGCAAGCGCAGCATGTCGCTCTGGGTGGAGTTCATCACAGCCTCGGGCTACCTGTCGGCGCGCAAGATCCGCTCCCGCTTCCAGACGCTGGTGGCCCAGGCCGTGGACAAGTGCAGCTACCGCGACGTGGTGAAGATGATCGCGGATACGAGCGAGGTGAAGCTGCGCATCCGCGAGCGCTACGTGGTGCAGATCACACCCGCCTTCAAGTGCACAGGCATCTGGCCGCGCAGCGCGGCGCAGTGGCCCATGCCACACATCCCCTGGCCCGGCCCCAACCGTGTGGCCGAGGTGAAGGCAGAGGGCTTCAACCTGCTCTCCAAGGAGTGCTACTCGCTGACGGGCAAACAGAGCTCGGCCGAGAGTGACGCCTGGGTGCTGCAGTTCGGCGAGGCCGAGAACCGGCTGCTGATGGGCGGCTGCCGCAACAAGTGCCTCTCGGTGCTCAAGACGCTGCGGGACCGGCACCTGGAGCTGCCCGGGCAGCCGCTCAACAACTACCACATGAAGACGCTGCTGCTGTACGAGTGCGAGAAGCACCCGAGGGAGACCGACTGGGACGAGGCGTGCCTGGGCGACCGCCTCAACGGCATCCTGCTACAGCTCATCTCCTGCCTGCAGTGCCGCCGCTGCCCGCACTACTTCCTGCCCAACCTCGACCTCTTTCAGGGCAAGCCCCACTCGGCCCTAGAGAGCGCCGCCAAACAGACCTGGAGGCTGGCCCGGGAGATCCTCACCAATCCCAAAAGCCTCGACAAACTATAGGGCCGGCGCCCGGGCGCACGCCGCTCGCCCCCCGGTACCGCGGCGGCCACAGACTGCTACGGATCGGCGCCGCCCGCGGGGACGGCATCCCCGCCTCTCCTCCGCAAAGAGAAGCGCTCGGACTTTTGCCGCGGCCAAACGAAAGCCCAAAGGTACATTTTCCAATCCCTGTATAGTCCTTTTCTTACTCTCTCTCTCTCTCGTCTGCCTGAATGTTGTCACCAAGTGAAAAATTATTTAACTATATGTACAAATTGCCCTTTAAAAAAAAAAAAAGTTTTACCGATGTTAAAATGTGTTTCGGCGCCGAGGTCAGATGATGTGCTCCACCACTGACTTGTTGCAAATAGTAATAAAAACATCACTTTAACTTTAATTTTCGTGCATGGTTCTTAAGTTCGGGCCGGCAGGGCCCTTCCAAACCGCAGAAGCGACACTTAAAAAAACAAAACCCGAAGCCGGACGGCGGGACGCGCCCGGAGGCTGAACGCGAGCCCTCCGCTCGGCGCAGTCCCTCTGTTTCCCGTTAAAACGGGGCGCTGAGAAAACCCTTTGCTCCGCGTGCGAGCACTGCTGTACCGCGTTACGTTCCGTGTCTTTTCCCCTCCGTCCTGAGCCATGCCGAGCATCGCCCCGCGGCAGGCAGGCAGCCCGCCCGCGGCGTTTCGCTTTGCATCGCGCGCGCTCGTTTTCGCTTCCAGCTTCCTTTTTAATTCTTCTTCTTCTTTTTTTTTTTTTCTTTTTTTTTTCTTTTTTTTTTTTTTCCCCCCCACTAAACCTCGAGCGCTTGTATTTCGCTTTACAAACTCCCCGTGCTAACGCGCCGTCCCGTTGGACGCGAAGTACGGAGCCACCCCGAACGGTGTCGGCGCCTTACCGCCCTGCTCACGCGGCGGCAGCGGCACCGATGGCTGTGGGTCTCCCCACGGGCTGACCGCTCGGGACGGGAGCTCCCGGGACACCCTGCGCCGTGCCCTCCACCCACAGCTTAACTTCCCCGCCTTGGAAACGATTGCAGCGTTTTTCACCGTTAACGGCGCCGTCGTTAGCTGTCCCGCTCCCCCCCCTTCCCCACCCCGACGGGCTTCCGAGCCGATTTTCAGCGTTTAGTACAAGCTTCGGCATCCCTCGGAGGGGAGGCGAAAGGCAACCTCTCGCTCCGAAACGCCGCTTCCGTTTCTTTGCGGTGGGACCGCAAAGAAACGGCCGTTCCCATTCGAAGCGAGAAAACGAACGAAGCGAGAGGCGCGGGCAGCGCGGCGGGGCCGGGAGGGACGCGGTGCAGCCCCACCGCCCCCCGGCTCACCTGGCGGAGCGGCCGTTTCTGTGGGAAAACAGCCCTGATCTGAGCGGCACTCGTAGCATCGCCAGCGCGGCGCTCGTTCCGCACCCTGTCACACTGTTTTCTTTGTGGTACTTTGGACAAACAGACACGTACCTTAAATTTAGCTAACGGACGAAGCCTCGTTAATTAAGGGCGCCTTCTGAGCTACTCTGCTTAAGGGTTTTGAGTTTTAGGGACGTACTTCCAGGCACCGCGATCCAAGCGGAGGGTGGGGCAGGGAGGTGTTAACGCTTAAAAGCGAGTTGCATCGGAAGCTCATCGCAATTTCAACTCAAAATTCACACCGTTTCTTTTTAGCCCTCCTCTCCCGAAAAGAGATATTAAGATATATATTTTTAAAGCTTTCCTCTGGAAGTAGCATCACAAATAGAACGTAAGATATGTGTAGCCCATGCTCCACATAACCGACTCCTTTTCTAAGAAACTAAAGAAAATGTCTCGGATGCAGAATGAAAAACAGTCAGACTATAAGAGAGCTCTGCCCGCGGGCAGGGAAACAGCCACTCCCAACGATTAGAAAACGGGAGAAAAGAAAGCCAGCTCAATGTGGCCACATCCCCACAAAACAGGTCACAAAAACGAGGAGAGTTCTTATCTCTGCTGAAGTGCAGAGAGCCGCAGAGCCAGAAGGTTTTTATGGTGCCAGTACAAGGCACGGCACAACAATGAAGATGGAGGATCAACTTGTCCTCACATTTTATATTGAGACGTTCCCTACCGTTACATATTTTTAAAAGTACTATGGCAATAGGAAGCATATCCAAATTTTAAGAGCTATTTCACAAACTTTCACGATGTTTCAGGACCAGAAAAAAGTTAAATTCCATTTATGGTACAATATAAAATCACTCTTTGAGCTGCAGTTTTCTATGAGCGATTAGCTGGAAAGGTTGGAGAGCGTTTTTTACAAACTAAATGCTTTCCTTGATAGCATTCAATGATCCCAGCTTTCAGAGCACATTTAATACAGATGAGAGCCATTTACTCCACAGGAACTGAGACCCGAAGCACTGCTTAACACACAGGGCGCTGCCGACAGATCAGCACAAACCCACTATGTCTTCCGGTGACTTTCTTTCCTTCACCAAGAAATTACCATCACGCTTAATAATAAGCAGATATTTTAAAGACCAGCAGACATCAATGTGCTTAATGTGGATACAAGAATATCTGCTAGTAACATGCCGCGCTTTTCAAGCGCTGCTGCGAGGCTGCATAGACCTTATTATGTCAGAATATACTGCCCCCAAAATTGCAATTTTACTGAAAGGTTTCTCTTTCTAAACAAACTCCGACCATCAAGTAGCTCAGAGCAAGTAAAGCTTGTGAAAATTAACAAGTCAGTTCCAGAACGTACTTTTAAGAGGGCAATTAAGTTTTCTGCTTAGGCACCATAAATAGTAACAGGCCCTGTAAAATCTGTTATATAATGATACAATGCTGAAGCACTGAAAACTTAAGAGCACAGGGGGTTAAGCACGATGTTATGCTGGCGTTATGTGAAAAGAGGAAAGTAAAGCAAAGCATTTGGGCTAACGGGCTGGCTGGACTTTCCTGTGTTCACACAGGCCTGCATTCAAGATGTCTTTATTTCAGATGCCTCCCTGGAGCTTTATTCGCAGCAAGCTAATTAACATTCAAGTAGGGTCGAATTGTGGGAGGGGGAGAATAGGGAGGAGAGGAGGTGTCGCTCAGGAGAAGTTTGCTAACATATATGGTCAGTCACAAACTTCCTAAAGCAGGAGCACTGAGGACCAACAGAGGTAAAGGGAGTAGAATGAAGAATTAAAGGGCTCGGGTAATTTGTCATCTTCTCTCAGAGCTCAGGGTCAATGATCTCTTACCTTCGGGTCGATTTTCTTAAAACTGGGATCTTCTTCATCCACCTCGAAGTAGAGCTCGGAAAGAGTGATGGACAGAGTGCCTTTCACGACCACCGAGGGTGCCACCAGCTGAGCTGGCGCACTCAGGGCAACTGGACCTGCCAAAGAGTACAAACACCAAACACTGTCACCATCACTTGTTTTTCAAACCCGGAATATGAAAATAAATAAAACAAAGATCATAGCCCTTCCTAAAAAAAACAGGAATCTTTTTATCCCAGAAGGGAACATATGTAATAGATTTACAGTTTCCCTGTTCTGCGCAAAGTTGAAGCTGCTACAATTGCAAACTGATGCATATATTACAGATGCCAGAGCTGCCTTTAGCATGGCAAGACATGGTTTTCACTCAGACATTTTCTTTTTGAGAAACTTCGGCGGTTGCATTATTTCTGTTGTATGCAATACAGGGAGCGCACACACCAACACTTGAAATCTTACTGTCAGATGTGTTCTGTAGCTACTGGAGAGTTTCCATAGCTTTCTACAAAGATGAAGAAAGCAGTCAAGGCTCGAAATTGTCTGATTGTGAAGTGCTCCCTCATGGATGACAGAAATCTAAGTTACACAGCCTTACAGAGCCTACAGTAAAATGTTTTAAAGATGCTTTTGATTTCACATTAAATATTTTTCAAGGATTCCGTAAAGCATTAGTGTAGCTCGGGGACTATGGGAGTAAACAGCTGGAGGGTAGGTTTCTAACTGAATGAATTTTTATTGGAATGATCACATCTCCACAGGGCTTATCATAGGGACAAATCAGACGACCACTGAAAACAATAGGTTAGGCACAGATCTGACAATACAGGAGCTGTTATATAAACTAACACACGCAGAAAGAAAATAAGTTAGGTTTGTCATTTAGCTGATTATGAGGTAAGGAAATGAAGGTTCTCGGTTGCAGTATTATCTGGCTTTAATAAAGCAGGTAAAGATAAGAAAGTGACACGGACAATTTTGTTTTAATAAAGCATCTAAAAATGAGGTACACACGTTCAGGTAATCAACGTGAGAATTACTGACAAAAAATTCAGATGAACTGTCATTTCCGTCAATTGTTAGGAGGGCGATGGTCCTTAATCTCACATCAATCTCAATGTGTGCCACTAGGACAAAAGAAGAGATGCTCTGCTGAGATCAGAGCAGCTTTGCCCTCTATTCCCAATGTACAAATACATTGTGTTTGCAGATGGGCATGAGATAGCTGCAGAACTGCCATGATTTCCCAAAGCTCACCCCCACAAATGGATGAAATAAGCAGCTATGTGTTCTTTTGCTGTCTCCCTTTGCCCTCTGTACATTAGCATGTAATCCAGAGGAGAAATAACATTTTTTCAATCACCCTCAGACATTCAATTACAGGGCAAGCAGACAGCTGCAGAAGCTAGGGCAGCCCAGGTCCTGCAGAAGACCCCTGACAATTTCCACTTCATTTCTAACCCACACCACTTTATTAGTGAGGATTACTTCTTAATCCTATTGCCATTGTCAAGATTATATAATTAAACTCCCCTTTCACCTCTATTACTGTATGAATGTATTACTAGAAGCAATGAATATATAATAAAAGAGAAGGAAACAGAGAAAGCTGTTGAGAAGAAAGCTCATGGTAGAAAGGAAGGAAAAGGAGATTCACATACATTAAAGGCTATTATTCTCCTGCTTCTTTCTTTTCCTTCACGTTCCTACCCCAACTGGTTTCTTTTACTATTATTATGCTGTGTTTTTACATCTGCTTTTAAATATTAAAGAGTGGAAAGCAGTTCAGACAAGGGATGAGCAAATTGACAATAATCACTTCCAATAATTTCATTAAACTATCAGAATGTAAGCTCATCATATCAGATTCTCAGGAAACTATCCAAGAAACATTTTTCTCTAAAGAAAATGAGCAAGGGATACCAGCTGAGAAAGAAGAACAGAGAGAAATTTGTATAGTTGAGTAATCCCATGCCCCTCAAATAACATTGAAGACACTCTGTAACCCCCAGTCCCCAAACCTAGGAAGTTACTGTTTACATTCTGAACTGTACAGAATGGACTCCTTCCACTTGGATTGCAACATCAGCAAAGGCTGCATGAAAGTTGGTCAAATTCATCAAGCTCAAGGAACTGAAGTACTGTTTTAATTTTTCTTCCAGGAAAAGT